TTCTTCGTAGCCATCGTGTCCCGCTGATATACTACAGTGGGGGGAAATAAATATTCGTACACTTGAAAAATCATATTTTAATGTATGTAAGTACACAAACTTAATAGGAAAAGTGATTTAAATTATGTATAGAGACGCATGGTATTCAAAAATACTATCAAAAGAAATTAAATCTCAATGCAACAAAAAACAATGCAACATGTTCACTTTTCGGGTGAAAAAAGTATTCGTACAAAACAATAAATCCGCATTAATTTAATTTAATACTTGGTTGAATACCCTTTATTCAAAATAACTCTGTCTAATTTCTGTATTCAGGTCTGTGTCTGATTTATTATTTCAGATTTATTCCTAGCTATTGACAATAACTCTGTCTAATTTCTGTTCTCATGTCTGTGTCTGATTTTTATAATATAAGAAGAGCTAAATCTTTCCATGTGTCGTTCTTACCCTCCTGTACTTAATTCATTATTGTCGGATAGAGGACTTCACGTGACATCATGGAATAGAATAGAAGTGTCGGCACTGAAGAAATAGGCCCATGGCCTGTTGCCGATTCATGTAATTTTCGTGACTTGATTCACAAGGGATCCGGCCTTTGGAACACGATCTTTCCATAGCTGACGATTGATTGAGATAGCTGCTGGACTTATTGCCTGGTCCGTAATTTGCTAGGCATTTTAAGACTGAACATATGCTCCTGCATAGCTTCGTCAAGTCTGTTCATTGAAGCCGCTATGCCGAAGCCTGACAAATAAATGAAGCAAGTTCCTCATAAGTGGAAGATAGTATTTTTTAAACTAATCAAACTCTCTTGTCGATTGTTTGCAGAGGTGGGCAGTAGCGCGCTACATGTAGCGGTAGCGGTAGCGGCGCTACTTTTAAGCAATTGTAGCGGTAGCGGTAGCGCCCGCTACATATTTAAGTAGCGATACGAGGTTTTGCCGCTACAGCGCTACCGCTACATTTATAGATAAAGCCTTTAAATTTTACTTAATAGCATTAAATATTATTTAAAAACCAGCATGATTCATACATAATATTAATTACAGAATAAAACTACGAAAGATTTCGGTGTAATGTTGTCAACTTCAGCCTGTTACTAGTGTCAGCATGTTAGTTGTTACTTGTTAACTACCAATCTCAAATATAATCCACATATATATATAAATAAAAGTGTGATTTTTTATATGTATATGTAATATGTGGATAATTTTTGAGATTGGTAGATCAAAGTAGACATCCATGTAGGGAAGGTAAAACATAAAAATAACTGTAACTTTTAATTACTGTATCTAACCCGTACTAGTTCGGTTAGGTTAATTGCAATAAAGTTGCATTGATATGTTTGGAAAATGTTTTATTATCATTAAATGTTTATGAGTAAATCCCAATAGCAGAACAATAAATACGTAGAGATTTCCAATAATTATGGCCATTGTAGCGGCTAATGTAGCGGTGCTACATTTTACTGTAGCGGTAGCGCCCGCTACAATCTAGTGGGTGTAGCGGTAGCGGTAGCGACCGCTACACCTAAAGCATGTAGCGGTAGCGGTAGCGGCGCTACATTTCAAAGTAGCGCTGCCCAGCTCTGATTGTTTGTTATGGGAGACATTCGAATTACGCAGTCAGCAACTGAAATTTCAATCTCAAGAAAGTTGAAACTTCGGGAATGGGCCTAAAGGTTTATAAAGGATTTCAAATGAAGAGGATTTTGGGTCGTTAATTAAGGGAATTTATTCTGAGGTAAACGACAGCTTTGGCGTAAATCCTTTTTAGTCATGCATCATCTATGATGAAACTCTGCACGCACGAGCGTGCTGTTGAATTAGGGCTACGTTGTTCCTCTAGATTATAACATGAACTTCTTCACACTACCACATTAAGCAGTAATTCTACGTACATACTAGGATTCTTTCCGCAATAATATCCGTTAATTTTGTAGAGATAATCCTAGTAAAATTGATTCAATGAACACGGAATATGACCGGAATTTTAGCTCATGTGGAGCCTGGCCCGCAATTTGAGACGATTAATAAATTTCCTGCATAATTATTGGCGCACCGTGCGATTATGTAACATAACTGAGTCCCCCGTCCCCAGCAACACGATTACTTCAGTCCCCCGTCCCCAGCAACACGATTACTTCAGTCCCCCGTCCCCAGCAACATGATTACTTCAGTCCCCCGTCCCCAGCAACACGATTACTTCAGTCCCCCGTCCCCAGCAACACGATTACTTCAGTCCCCCGTCCCCAGCAACACGATTACTTCAGTCCCCCGTCCCCAGCAACACGATTACTTCAGTCCCCCGTCCCCAGCAACACGATTACTTCAGTCCCCCGTCCCCAGCAACACGATTACTTCAGTCCCCCGTCCCCAGCAACACGATTACTTCAGTCCCCCGTCCCCAGCAACACGATTACTTCAGTCCCCCGTCCCCAGCAACACGATTACTTCAGTCCCCCGTCCCCAGCAACACGATTACTTCAGTCCCCCGTCCCCAGCAACACGATTACTTCAGTCCCCCGTCCCCAGCAACACGATTACTTCAGTCCCCCGTCCCCAGCAACACGATTACTTCAGTCCCCCGTCCCCAGCAACACGATTACTTCAGTCCCCCGTCCCCAGCAACACGATTACTTCAGTCCCCCGTCCCCAGCAACATGATTACTTCAGTCCCCCGTCCCCTGCAACATGATTACTTCAGTCCCCCGTCCCCTGCAACATGATTACTTCAGTCCCCCGTCCCCAGCAACATGATTACTTCAGTGCCCCGTCCCCAGCAACATGATTACTTCAGTGCCCCGTCCCCAGCAACATGATTACTTCAGTCCCCCGTCACCGTGCAGTAGTAACATAATTATATCGCCCCCAGTCCCCAGCTGCTGAGGCTGCTGATGTACTAATGTCAGTTCAGTAAATTATCTGTCGGTGAGCAGCACGAATGTCGCGCCGTATTCCCGGAAATCTGCCCGGCCTGTGCGGCCTCCGCGGAAGCCGTGCGGCGAAATTCATAAAATTTTCTCAAAAATCTCGTGACGCGAGCACAAATCAATGACGCCGGTACTGGGAAATGTAGGGGCCTGGTGGGATAATATCTACATGTTTAATGAACACTTAACAAAATGAAAACATTTTTAATGACTATTATATCAACAGAAACATGGTTAATGACCATGCAATCAATATCAACATGCTTCAATACATCGTTCATGTCCAGAGCGAGTACTTTTTTAGCGACTCGTTGAACGCGCTTTAATATTCATTCGTGGGCGTAGTTTTTTTTTTATTTTACGCAGAAAAAAGAGCAAAAATTTGTGGTAAAAAAATAGGAGAACAAAAAGCAAGAGAAAAGTTGTATAACGAATAACAAGTAAATTAGTCAATGTTTATTTAGTTTGCTATATTAACAAGTAAATAAGTTAAATTTTAATTTGTTTAGTAATGTCAACAGGTATCAAGAGGATGAGTGAACAAGAGGATGAGTGAACAAGGGGATGAGTGAACAAGAGGATGAGTGAGCAAGAGGATGAGTGAACAAGAGGATGAGTGAACAAGAGGATGAGTGAACAATGACGGGAAAGCAAATCTTCAATAAAAGGGCGCATTTTCTTCGGTATTCAGGCTCAAAAATTGAATGATGATCTAAATCCATTATTTAATTACTATATTTCAACTTAATATATAAAATCAGTTTAGTTATATAAATTATTACTGTTCGATCCTATTTCCTTATATTATGTGCTTATTTCCACCAAAATTTCAATGTTCAATTTGAAAATGAATGTTTGTTGCATTCGAAACGTCGTTAATAAAGAAGAATTACTTCCTGAAACTTGTCTTTTAATCTACCGTCATCTGAAGAAAAGTTCCACTCACTGATAAAATAAATCAACGAATTCTCGTGTCATCGATCGAACGTGTGTAAACAAGTAAATCCTGCCATCTAATATTAATTTTATACCAATTATATATACGTTTAACCTTTACGCGTCCTCACAATACCTGCTAATAAAAATTTTAATTAATCAATTTTATCAGTAATATATGGTGATTAAAATTCTAATGTGACCCAATTCTCAGGTCGAATCCTACATACTAAAATTTTGTTTACATTTGATGACTGGCTCGATCAGGCCTACCTAAACCTATATAAGGCGGCGACGAACACCTGTTCCTGCAGTGTTGTGCGGGCTGCTGGAGTGGCAGGTGCGCAGCGTCCGCTCCTGTGCCGGCACACAGAACCTGTGTGGCCAAACAGCCTTGACATTGCCAACGATATAACAAGAAACTATTTTATGATGTGGTGAATTTTTTAAAATATGGAGAAAAATACTTTATCATTGTACATAAATGATGTATTACTCATAAAAAGCACATGGTTTTTCTTTTTCCATGTTATACAGTGTCAGAAATTTTTTTTTCTTGAGGAAATGATCAGGCGAAATAGAACGAGTTCTACGGACTGCATGGCGTGAACGACGCAAGGCTGCGTGCAGAAGTTCATAGCTTTATTATATGCTTTCTATTTGTGTTATTCCTTTTTATGAGCAAATAAGATGAAAGTTAATTTGAGATCAAGCTATTTATTTGAAACTCTTCTTTTTGATAGCAAATAATGCCCCTTGGAAAACAATTGCGACAGTAAAATACAAAGGTGGTTTAGAGAAGTTGCCTTCGCTTCGTTGACATAAAGTACACATTTTTATTGTGATAACATCATGAACACTTATTTATTAACGGTAAATCTTATTTATTATGAAAGATGAATTTGTAGTGATGTTAGATAACGCATCATAATATTAATATTGCGCCTAATATAACGTTTAACAACATTACGTCTCACTACATTACGTCTAACAATTTTTCTAATAATATTTAGCCAATAATAGAATATATCTACTAATGTCTAGCCGAGTAGCAAGTGCTGTACGTACACTGTGCCTCAATAATGGTGTGAGGAAATTCACTTAATTTTAATATGAATTTCATTTTGTACAGATGGAAGCGGGCGCCATTTTCGTAGTTGCTAACTTGAACTAACATTTGCATTAGATGTGTGTTAGATAGATCATTTAAAATGCACATTTAAAATGCACATTGATCATTGTCTCGAGTTGAAAATAGAAAAAAACGAAGCGACTCTCAGTTCACTTATGCAAGATTTAATCCATCAAAAATAACCGACAAATATATAGTCTATGCAAAATCAGCCTTCATATAGAAAGACATTGAATAACACCACACAAAACTGATGACAATGATGGAGGATAGGGACAGTGGAAAGCCGTTTGAAAAGGATTCTTCGATAGACATTCCTACACTACGAAGTCTATCACACCACAATCATTCCGGGCATTCCAGTTATTCCAGTCATTCCCGGCGTTCCAGTATTTTTCGTCATTCCAGTCATTCCCGATATCAATTGCGTGAACGACCACAACCTCTTCACAAACTTATTCACAAATCCAGTTGCACGAAACCATGCCATAGAAGGACGACGTACACGCAGCTGTGCATGGTGTTGGTGCTGTGCGTGGGTTTAGCACGCAGCGCTGCACGCACCACGCACGAATATCCACTGCATTCCGTCATCCACGAATCCACGCACGAATATTCACCATCGCCTACAGTTGATGTCGTCAGCGGCCGGCAAGGTTAGAGTTTTAGATGCTTTTACTTATCAATATTCTTTTATATCACTAATGAAGATTTATATCTATTTTATACAGATGTTTTTATCGCTCATAAATTTCTGGAAATTCTATATACTTTTGAAATATACAATAACTTATATGTACATTGTACAATAACTAGGAGATGCAATAACTCATATATACAAACTTATATATAAAAAAATTATTTATACAATATAATAACTTATAGAGCTTGAAGAACTTGTCAGAAACACATGAGCAAACATGAACATATGTTTGCATGTAGCTGCGTGGACGAGAATGCAGGTTCACAATGAGGTGAACATGGCACTCATTCATTCCATTCCTGACTTCGATTTTATGAATGACGTCATTCAATTCATTCATGACTTCGTTATGAATGGCGGCCGGACATCTTGGCTCGCTTGCCGTGACATATATTATTTTTCTAGTTCAGATGTCGTTAACGGGGTCGATATTGACCCCCAAGGGTCGATATTGACCCCCAGGGGTCGATATTGACCCCCAGGGGTCGATATTGATGCAATACGGACCACATCCTCATATAAATGAGGGCCAATAAATTGATAGGGGTCGAAAGGAGGTCGATTAATTGATTGAGATCGAAGGGGGTCGTTGAATTGATAGAAGTCTAAGGAGGTCGATAAATTGATGGAGGTCGAAATGAGCTCGATAGATTGATAGGGGTCAAAAGGGGGCCAATAAATTGAAATTGGTTCATAGGAGGACGATAAATTGATAGGAGACGATAGGGGTCGATTAATTGAAAGGGGTCGAAAGAGGGTTGATTGATTGATAGAGGTAGAAATGGGGTCGATAAATTGATAGGAGACGAAAGGGGTCGATTAATTTATAGGAGTCGACAGTAGGTCGATTAATTGATAAGGGTCGAAAAGTGGTCGATAAATTGATAGGGATACAAAGGAGGTCGGTTAATTGATAGGAGTGGAAAGATAGGTCGATCATGAGTGAAAAGAATCGATACGGTTTTCCAAGACTTTGCATAAAAATTTATTTCTTGTTGGATAATTAAAATTATGTATAATTTGAATCTCCGACGTGAAATGCAAAACTATACATACGGAAAATTTTTGGAAGGAAGATTTCAAGCAGGTTCTAAAACCCTTATCATTATTAATGATGATATGAAATAACAGTACGCTCATGCCGAACAGAGATATTTATTCAAACCACTAATAATGATCAAAAATAACATCATGCTTATGAAAAGCAAAAAATTTTCATCTCAAAACATGTGTGCTTTCCATCGCATTTTCAGGGTGTGACAGCAGCGCTGTATAATAGCCAGGCCTGGGGCCTGTGTGTGCTGTGTAGCTCATGTAGACTACACAGCACCTCTGTAGCCAACACAGCACCTCTGTAGCTTACACAGCACCTCTGTAGCTTACACAGCACCTCTGTAGCTTACACAGCACCTCTGTATCTTATACAGCACCTCTGTATCTTATACAGCTCCTCTGTATCTTATACAGCTCCTCTGTAGTTTACACAGCACCTCTGTATCTTATACAGCACCTCTGTAGCTTACACAGCACCTCTGTAGCTTACACAGCACCTCTGTAGCTTACACAGCACCTCTGTAGCTTACACAGCACCTCTGTATCTTACACAGCACCTCTGTAGCTTACACAGCGCCTCTGTAGCTTACACAGCACCTCTGTAGCTTACACAGCACCTCTGTAGCTTGTGTCAGCAAATAAGCTACTTCATTAGTAAGCAATAATAAAAATACGCACATTGTTTTAGCTGAGAGAATAAATATAATTGTTGTTGCTGTTGTTATTGTTCTTTTTTTTCATTGTTGTTTTCAAAATGTTTTTTCCTCGTCAGAGGAATGGTTATCCATGCAATTGCGTTCATATTGTTTTTAAAGCGTTTAGAGGAATGATTTTCCAGTCGCGTTCATGTTGGTTTTTAATCGTTTAGGACTTTATAGTGAAAGGCGCCCAGTGGCGTTCACGTTGTTCTATAGCTGTTCAGAAGGATAGCGTTGCAATGGCGTTCACATTTTTTATTAGCGTTCAAACGAACGCGTTGAACCCAACACTCGTAAACTTTCGTACTTTGCTCAATTCGAAGCTCCGGCTGATCCCTCTGTACTTATGCTCCATATCTTCCCGTATTTCTACGGGAAACTTAAGTAGGTTTTATCCCAGGTAGGAATTTATTGGCTTTATTTAGTGGTATACTTGAGAACGCTGTGCTGTGTTCCCCTACTTTACGGCATCCTTCGGACAGAAATAAGGATCGTCAATATCAGTAATGTTGTTTATTACCGGCGAGGAATGTCGGCTCGATAAATGTTAGCTAATTTGTCTACGTGTATAAATGTTGTTTAATGTTGCCGCGTGTATCACGCTTGTAGATTGGTACGAAATTTACGACGTTCGCGGTAGCACAACGGGTTCTTTATATAAGCTTCGGATAAATAATGAAATGGGAGCCATTCTTTACGAAGGATGTTGCGAGATCGGGGCTGCAGGACTTATGCGTTGGGCCTGTGTTTTAATTGGTATAGGATATAGGGTAGGCCAGGTGTGGTATAGGATATAGGGTAGGCCAGGTGTGACAATGGATATAGGGTAGACCAGATGTGGTATAGGATATAGGGTAGGCCCAGGTGTGGTATAGGATATAGGGTAGGCCAGGTGTGGTATAGGATATAGAGTAGGCCCATGTGGGGTATAGGATATAGGGGAGGCCCATGTGGTGTATAGGATATAGGGGAGGCCCATATGTGGGGTATAGGATATAGGGTAGGCCCATGTGGGGTATAGGATATAGGGTAGGCCCATGTGGGGTATTGGATATAGGGGAGGCCCATGTGGGGTATAAGATATAGGGTAGGCCCATGTGGGGTATAGGATAGAGGGTAGGCCCATATGTGGGGTATAGGATATAGGGGAGGCCCATGTGGGGTATTGGATATAGGGGAGGCCCATGTGGGGTATTGGATATAGGGGAGGCCCATGTGGGGTATAGGATATAGGGAAGCTCAGACATGGTATAGGATACAAGATAGAGTCCTGGTCCAAGCGTGACCGTGAATGTCACTACGCCAGAATGTCATACATTCGAGGTCGCTCATTCATAGAGCGCTGTATTTTAGATTATGAATCTTTGAGCCGTTTGTGTTCGTTAATAACTAATCATTGAGTTATTAGTGTCTGTTTTGATATTGTAAGAGTTATTAGTGTCTGCGTCAGTATTAGTAAATGTTATTAGTGTCTGCTCTGATATTTTTTGTCTGTTCATAAAGAGCCCGTCTGTTCTTAAAGAGCCCGTCTTTACTTAAAGAGCCCGTCTGTTCTTATAGAGCCCGTCTGTTCTTATAGAGCCCGTCTGTTCTTTTAGAGTCCGTCTGTTCTTAAAGAGCCCGTCTTTACTTAAAGAGCCCGTCTTTACTTAAAGAGCCCGCCTGTTCTTAAAAAGCCCGTCAGTTTTTAAAGAGACCGTCTGTTCTTAAAGAGCCCGTTTGTTCTTAAAAAGCCCGTCTGTTCTTATAGAGCCCGTCTGTTCTTAAAAGAGCCCGTCTGTTCTTAAAGAGCCCGTCTGTTCTTAAAAGAGCCCGTTTGTTCTTAAAGAGCCCGTGTGTTCTTAATGAGCCCGTCTGTACTTGAAGAGCCCGTCTGTTCTTAAAGAGCCCGTCTGTTTTCAAAGAGACCGTCTGTTCTTAAAGAGCCCGCCTGTTCTTATAGAGCCCGTCCGTTCTTATAGAACCCGTCTGTTCTTAAGGAGCCCGTCTGTTCTTATAGAGCCTGTCTGTTCTTATAGGGCCCGTCTGTTCTTAAAGAGCCCGTCTGTTCTTAAAGAGCCCGCCTGTTCTTAAAAGAGCCCGTCTGTTTTTAAGAGCCCGTCTGTTCTAAAAGAGCCCGTCTGTTCTCTCGCACAACGTCTCTCGCCGGTTCTCTCCGACCTCTGTATAATATTAATGGTAGTAATACCATGATATTAATACAATCATTAGTACAATTGATTGGTATCACCTATTAATTGTATCAATAACGATATCAATGGTGCCCTATTAATGATATTAATACCGTTATTAATACAATTGACAGCTATCACCTATTAATGATATTAATAATAATATTCCGGAAAATATCAACAGGCAGCACAAGAAACTGAAAAAAATACTTACGATATCTGGCACTCCTGTCGAGAATGTCGTTGTATTTCACCACTCCTGCTGCTGAAATACAAATTTTCATACATCATTGATGTATGAGAATCTAATTATTGTGTTGATGATGTATGATTCTCATACATCATTGATGCTCTGATAAATAACTTAGTCCCCCTGATGATGCTGGATGTCTGCGTACAGTGATGACACACCAGCGCGTTGTTTACTGCCCCCGCCCCGCCCCCCCCTCACTTGTGCCCCCCTACCTGACCC